CCCATTAGGCGGAAAGAGAGCAGGTTCTCGTCCTCCCGTTCGCCCATTCGCCCTCGCACTTACAGAGCATCCAGCGCTCGCCAGATCTTGAACGCCTCGACCTTGCTCCCGACCCTCAGAGCTCGCTTCAGCTGCGCCTCTGTCTCTCCCGCTGAGCCGAGGTAAGCGATGATGAACGCCGACCAGATGCTGAAGGGCGAGAAGAAGAAGTTCTTGGGGGAGCCAGGAGAGTCGAGTCGTCTGTAGAGGTCGAAGCCGAAGTCGGTGACGGCGGAGAGGTTGGTGTTGAATTTGACGCGGAAGTCGTCGTTGTCGGTGAAACCCTTAGTCTGCACGACCCCCACCAGAGCCGCAGCCACCGCTCCTACCACCGCAAATTTCATCTCTGGAAAGATAAAAAAAAAAAAAAAAAAAAAAAATATATAAGAACAGGAACACACACACACATACTTATATATTTGCTTGGCCTGCATTGTGCAGCTAAAACGGATTGCAGCGTGAGAATCAGAGCAGTCAGGTATGAATTCTAAAAGATAGAGGGAAAAGTGTGACTGAAGACACACAGAGAAAGAGAGAGAGAGAGGGGGGGGAGGGAGGGAGAGAGAGAGAGAGACAGACAGACAGACAGAAAGACGACAGACAAACAGAGATCCTTGGCACTCAAACAAACCTCAGAATCCCCAACACCAAAAGGACCGGGCGAGTCTCACCGTCACATTAAGTACCAGAACAGGAGCATCAGCTGCATCAGCCAAGCGAATCCTACCAAAAGGAGCGTGGAAAGAGTATACCGGAAGCTCTAGATCAGGTACGATGCAGGATACAGCATTCCTAGAGACAATTTACCACGCTAAGATGTGGAACGCTGTAATGTGCTGTATCTCTAGATATGATGTTCACGGTATTCAGTGCTTTACCACCTGAGACACTTTATACTCCATCCCTACATGCACTAGGATGCTGAACACTGTTAATTTGCAATCCTTTAAAGTGTGCAATGTTTTGACACCCTTTTACAGGCGTCATTTGATAGTCTTTATTAGTATTTCATTTCAAAGGGATATTTTCTAATCATAATTTCATGCGTGACATACTTTTACAATTGTTTAAGGGCTTGGCTCTTAGATAATTTTGAGAAATTAATTATAAGAAATGGTCCAGTGACTAATTCTATCTTTGTAACTAACACGAGAGAGAGAGAGAGAGAGAGAGAGAGAGAGAGAGAGAGAGAGAGAGAGAGAGAGAGAGAGAGAGAGAGAGAGAGAGAGAGAGAGAGAGAGAGACAGAGACAGAGACAGAGACAGAGAAAGAGACAGAGACAGACAGACAGAAATAGAGATAGATACAGAGGCATAGACAAATAGACAGAGACAGAGAAAGAGACAAAGACAGAAATAAACAGAAACAGAGACAAAGACAGAAATGAATAGAAACAGAGACAGAAAAAAATGACAAACAGTGATACACCAGAGACAGAGCCACTGCGATGCTGCGATACACCAAACCGGAGGAGAGCGATGCCGGCGGGCACCTGGGCGAACGCTCCGGAAATTGTCGTGAATCACGGGTTTTCGCCGTGACCACGACGTAAATAAGTCGTCAAAACCCTCTCTCACTTTCACTCTCCCGCAGGCACAAAGAAAATCGAAAAATATCTCGAAGGGCAGTGCTACCAGTCTTTTATCTCCGCGAGGTGAGGATGCCGCGAATTCGCCCCGAGGCTGCGCGCCTGCATAGAAAACGGGGCACAAGGGAAAGAAAGCGCGGCCACTCCCCCTCCTCCCTTTTATTGTTTTATTTTGTTTGTTTTATTTGTATTAAACGTTCTTTTTAAATGTGTTTTATCCTTCCACACCTAAACTCAAGGAACTGCAACATACATTAAAGAACTGGCAGAAAAAGTGAACAAGGAAGAATCACGAGTTTTATCTTTTAATTCACTATTTATTATTTTAGTTCTTTTGGGATCCTTTTACGTATTAATTCTATCAATTTTAACTTTCTAATGGTGTTTTTAAAAAAAACATTAATAACTTGAGAGATTCAGTTCCTCAATTACTTTTTCGCGCCACCGAGCCCAAAAGATACATGAGAGGCAAGAATAAGGGGATTGGTCCTTGGGTCACGGCGAGAAGAGGTCGCTCGAGGTCACCCCGGAATGGGCCTCCTCGACAGCTAAGTGGTCGCGAGCTTTATCTCTATTTAGGGATCAGGAAACATTCGTGATTTTTTTTAGTAAAGCTCAAGGGATTTTATAAGACCGTGCTCTCATGTTAAGTATTTTAAAGGTGTACTTGCGTTTACGTGTTTTTTTTTCTTGTTTTATCATTGTTTTAGTGTTTTAAGTTTGTGTTTTGTTTTACGTTTGTGTTTTAGTGTGTTTACGTTTGTGTTTCGTGTGTTTGTTGTTTGTGTTTTAGTGTGTTTTACGTTTGTGTCGTTGTGTGTGTGTTTGTGTTTTAGTGTGTTTGTTTAGTGTGTTTTACGTTTGTGTGTTTTA